CGTCACCATCATCATCTTCTTCTTCATCATCTTTGTTTCCCCAATTTATGTCAAGTTGAAGCAATTCATGTTGCCCGATTTCTTCATAATAAGATGATTCAACAAGTATATTTGGATCATCAAGTGTTTGAGTAGGAAGGACACAACATGGTTGAGAAATCTCATCTGATTGATCAACATCAAATGATGTTACATTGTTGGCATCTTTAATAAATTCACCCATGTCAACATTATAACGACTTCTAGCAATTGTCTTAATAACCGTCCACCATTCAGATGATTTATTACCAGGTGGATATGTATAGTAGACTTGTTGACATTGTTGTGCTAGCACAAAATCTTCATTTCCTTGTAGTCGAGATGTATGCTTGATTTCAACCAAACCATTCGAAGGATGCACTCTAATTCCTCGTCTTGTATCATACCAATTACATTTAAACATAAATAACTTGCACTTACTCCCTAAGTATTTTAGCCGAACAACTTCTTTAAGCATTCCATAATAATCACGTTCATTATCATCATAGCAACTTCCTTTCACACAAACTCCACTATTCATTGTCTTTTTAAAACAACCATAACGTTGAGTATGAAATTTAAAACCATTCACATAATACCCATTATAGCATTTCACTGAAGTTGAAGGGCCCATAGCAAGTCCAAAGAGCTGATTTTGAATTCCATTAGATTGGTATTCCACCTAGCATAATAGTTAACTCCATAAGAAATAATAATTTAAAAGAGATTAATAATATTTTTAAAGTAACTAATTGACATAAAATATAAATTAATTTTATTAAAATACTTACATTATTTTTTAACCAATTTGGAAAGATCACTTCGCATAATTTTTCAATTTCACCATCACTCGCATATGGTTGTTGTGACTTTAGCTCTTGACGGCATTGCCTAATATTTAAAAAATGTTAAAGTTAATAATAAATTATTAGAAATTTAGTAAAAAATAATATTTCATACTTACTCTAAATAAGGCTTCAGTTCTTGACAATTGAATATCACATAGTTATGCGCAATTTGCATTTCAGCATGTGACAACTGCCTTCTATAAAATCTTTTGGATAATTTTTTTCCTGGATAGGAAAAAATAGAGAGACATCCATCTACACTTTTAAGGCCACCATCATCATTCCGTGGAACTCGATTCCAAATTGTTTGCACGTCATCACCAAAATAATGAGATGCAAAATTGGTAATTTCATCAATCAAGTACGCTTCACATATGGAACCCTCAACTTTAGCTTTATTGGTAACTTTCTTCTTCAAATAAAACATATACCTATATCATTTTTTTCAATTAGTTTATTAAAAAAAAATGAATAAAATGAACATAGTATGAAACATACCGTTCAAATGGATACATCCATCGATATTGAACTGGTCCACCAACTTTTGCCTCGTAAGGTAGATGTATCATCAAGTGTTCCATGGAGTCAAAGAAGGATGGAGGAAAAATCCTTTCAAGTTTGCAAATTATTTCAATTATATTCATCTGCATTAACTCCATGTGCTGGGCATTTAAATTTGTTGAACAAATATCTCGAAAAAATACGGATAGTTCAGTTAATGCCTCCCACAATGGCCTAGGTAAGTAAGGTCGGAAAGCGGTTGGAAGAAGTCTTTGAATGAAGACATGACAATCATGGCTCTTCATCCCCGAAACCTTACATTGTGCCTCTTTCACACATCGTGAAATGCTTGAAGCATAACCATCAGGAAATGATAATTCCTTCATCCATGACAACACTTCTTGTTGTTGTTTCTTGTGTAGACAATAAGTGCTTTTAGGTTTGTAAACCCGACCACTCATATCTTGTTGCAAATGTAAATTTGGCTTATGACAATACAATTGAATATCCAACCTAGCCTTTAAATTGTCCTTGCTTCTATAAGGACAATCCATTACTGTATAAAAAATATTGTCAAAGATATTTTTCTCAATATGCATGACATCAAGATTATGACGAATCAAATTTGTATGCCAATATGGAAGCTCCCAGAAAATACTCTTCTTCACCCAATTGTGTTTAACACCAAATCCCGGAATTTTAACATTATATGATGAACCTCCAATATGTCCCTCAGTATACTTGGACACTTCATTTAACATTTCCAAACCAGATGGACGAGGTATAGGAGGGAGCCTTTCAATTACTCCTTTCAAAAACTTATCAGATTGATGTCTATATGGGTGGTTCATGGGTAGGAATCGTCGATGACAATCAAAAAATGTAGTTTTCCGTCCATTTTTTAATCTAAAAGCCTTGCTATGCTCCATACAATAAGGACAAGACAGATTTCCATGAGTACTCCACCCCGATAACATGCCATATGCTGGAAAGTCACTAATGGTCCACATCAAAGCTGCCCTTAATTGAAAATTTTCTTTTCTGTAGACATCATATGTTTCAACACCAACAGACCATAAATTCTTTAACTCATCAATCAAAGTCTTAGAAAAACATCAAGCTTTTTACCCGGATTCTTTGGCCTAGGAATCAGCATTGTCAAAAACATGAATGGTCTAGTCATGCACTTCCATGGAGGCAAATTATAAACAGTCACAATTACTGGCCAACAAGAGTATGTATTTGAAGACATGTCAAATGGACAAAACCCATCAGTGCACAACCCTAATCGAATATTTCTCGGATCTGATGCAAAGCTGAAGTGAACACGATTAAACTCCTTCCATGCCTCCCCATCAGATGGGTGCACCATAACCCCATTATCTGACTTGTGAAAATGATGCCATGTCATATCTTTGGCATGATATGGAGACATGAACAGTCTTTGAAGCCTTGGTGTTAAGGGAAAGTATCGAAGTTGCTTCTCTGCCTTATTGGAACCTTTACTAGTTGGATTTCTAGGTTTGTATCGTGAACTTCCACAAAAATCACAATTTGTTTTCATTGCATCAGCCCCATAGTACAACATACAATAATTAGGACACACATCAAATTTCTCATAACCAAGTCCAAGTGGTCGCATAAATTTCTTGGCATCATAAAAATTTGATACCAAATTTTCATCATTAGGCATGCAACTTTTTGTGAAATCAATAAAATTGTTGAAGGCATTCTGAGTCAAATTAAATGTTGACTTCATATTAAGCAATTGTACACAAGCAGATAATTTGGATTGCTTGGTACACCCATCCCATAACGGCTCCTCCGCAGCTTTCAAAAGATTAAAAAATTTAGTTGCCTCCGGATTTGGAATTTCCCCTACTACCATAGGACTAGACACGTTATCGTTATAGAATGCATCACCAACCCCCATTGCATCTATAACTAGATTTCTATATGGATTCTCTAGACAAACATCATTCACAACATGACTCATTCCAATTGATGAAGGTCCAGCCAATATTGGTTCTGCAACATAAGGCTCCCCATGTACTGTCCAATTTTCATAACAAGGTATAAAACCTTTTGTCAATAGATGTTTACAAACATCATCTTCCTTTAAAAACTTTTGATTTTTGCACCTCACACAAGGACATCTAATTTTTCCCCCAGATATATTTTTATCAATTGAAAATGCAAAATTGATAAATCTTCTAACACCGGTAATGTATTCAGGACGAAGGCGACCATCCATAAGACGACGATACATCCATGATCGATCATCCATGTTAATCTAATTAACAGGACAACACCAATAAGCATTTTTAGAAATAAGCATACTTCTTTAACTACTACTATTTAAACAATCCTTTAAAATACAATATGTACAACATAAATAAACAAACAATCCTTTAAAATAAAATATGTACAACATGAATAAACTATAATTATTTGTCCAGTTCAAACATATATCAAGCTAAAAAATGTTAATGATGGGATATATGCACATGTTTGTAAAAACCTGGATAATTATTTTCCTTCTAGTCTTTGTTATTGAATTTTTGTTAATTGCTTTAAATAAATCTTAATAATTTTCATTTATATTTTCCAATTATTGACAAAAGTACACTTTTAGATTATGTTTGATTAGTATTTTATACAGAATAAACGGATAAAGAAAAAAAATATTTAGTTGAAAAAATATTAAATAAATTTATCTTTATAGTAGTTTTGGATTTTTTTTTTATTGATCCTTCTAACTTTTGTTACAACCTCAAATGAGTTTTTTTTTTTTTTATTGATCCTTCTAACTTTTGTTACAACCTCAAATGAGTTTTTTTTTTGGGGGCCTTTTATTTTTATTAGATCCATCAAAAAATTTTATTTTTATTCAAATCTTTTTTTTGGTAAACTAAGAAATGGTAAATGAAATCATAATCATATATTCGGATCTTTTTATTTTTAGAAATCATAATCATATATTCAGATCTTTTTATTTTTATTCCAAAATTTGTATCTTTGTCTCTTTAATTATATACAATGTATCTATGTTTTATATCATAGTGAAATAATAATTAAATATCAATTATTTTTTTGGCACTTGTCTTCTCATAACAAATATTTTTTTTCATTTAAGATCCAACCTAATAAATTTCATTTAATTTAATAACAAGGAACTAACTTATAGTTTTTTTTAAAAATTCATTTAATTTAATAACAAGGAACTAACTTATAGTTTTCAAAAAAATTAATTATAATTTACTGTAATTATTATCTCTTAAAACCTATAACTTAATATGAATTTTTATGGATAGGACATAATTTTTCTACAAAACCAAACCTTTGTATAAAAGGAAATTCTAATGACATGCTTTTAGTTCAAGGAGCAAAACAACAAGGTACAAAAAGCATAGCACAAAGGAAGCTGGATGCATTAAATGATATTCCATGTAAATGACATGTAGTATAAGAGTACAAGACCTCAAAAGAACAAAGCATTAAGGAGACCATAGTAAATAATAATAAGAACGCAACACACCGCTTTCGTGCCAAGAAGAACCCAAAGGCTGATTAATTATTGAGGAAGATAACTTGCTGCCACGCTTAAAAACCTAATTCATCATATTGAACAAAGTCATGTCAGGACCTAGAAATTAAAAAAAAATATTGAACAAAGTCATGTCAGGACCCAGAAATTAAAAAAAAAACCAAATAACAAAGCAAGCATTAGGTACTGTAACAAAATGAGTAAATATCATAGATTTTTATCCAAAATTCAATAGCTGAAGCATACATGTAGATTAATTATATAGCAAGTTCCAAACTTCCTATTATATCTAGAATGCTTTTGAGTTAAAAAAAATAAAATAAAAAAATAGTTAAATTAAGGAAATTTTTAAAACCAGAGAAAGCAAAATATATACATAAATGAAATTAAATAGTGCAATTATTATATTTAATGTATTAAAAAATCATGTCCCATTTCTTACTTTGTTTCTCTAACCTTTTTAAATTCTCAATGTGACTATCATATTAAAATATAATTAAGAGCATTTTTTGTTACTGTAGACATGAATATTTATTATGATATTTTTTGTTTGAAAACATTGATGCAATCGTAGTTGTAGCGACATTTCCAAACAAGCATCAACAAGTAGCCTATTGTTTTTGTTTTTATTTTTGGAGGGTGGGGGGGCCTCTTTTCTTCTTTTCATATCTCCATATCTCTGTAAATCTAAGAGCTTGACAGCTCCACAACAATTGTGAGCTTTAGTCATCTCAACAAAGGCAGAGATGATGTGTTGCTAAAATATTCCCGAAATAATTCATGTACCTTATTGAGAATACTTCTCTTTTAAGATTAACCTTATTAAGCATACTCAAGAATAAACACAAGGTTATACTGATTTGGTTTTGTCCTTTACAAACTACGTCTTTATGGATAATTAAATATTGAAAGCATACTGCTTTACGGTACTACAGGGATCAAATTAGCTTTAGTTGATTTTCAGTTTCAACTAACCTTTAGTTGATTGAAATGATTAAGCATGTTTCATGCTCTCCACAGACACATATACATACATTTATGTCTACTAACAGTCAAAATAAATCACTTGAGAACTTTATTATTCAGGAAAAGGAAAAGGGCTTCGACAGATAAAGCAATGGAACTAGAATCAAGTTCCTAAAGCAAGTATTAATTTCATAAACATCTGACATCAATGAAATCCAAGAATTGACATAAATATTTGATATTACAAGGTTTTCTTGGCTATCTTTCAGTTATGAAAAGTGGAATATTTCCATGTTATCATATACAATTATCTCTTAAGATAGCCTTTTAGAATCTACTTTGTTGAGAGCAATTTTTTCCTCCTGTTCCAAGCATAACCACCATAAACATTAAGCCGCCCAACTTCCATCCATGCACATCTTTTTTAACTTGGGATAAAAAAAATAAAAAAAAGTAGAATCAAGTTCTTGTCAAACCCACCTTAATTATAGAGGCATATATGCCCTACCGAGAACTTGGAAACCCGAGACAATGTATATAGAGAATAGAGAGAGTTCCAATTAAAATATCTCCAAGCAATTGCTACTGTTATGGCATGTTCAACTAGTATGTGGTGCTGACATTCTACCGCCATTATCCAGGACAAGCCACTCTTCTAAACCATCAAAATAAAGAAAGCTTTCACTAGTAACTATTTGTTTACCACGGCAACAATACTAATAGCTAGCGCCGCCATGTTAAAAGGACTCCTTCAAGACTCTTTAGCTATAGTAAGGTCGCCAGAAAAAAACTAACTCATGGACACGAATCTAACTTGATATTCATCATCTCACAAACTAATCCACCAAATAGTAAGTGTATATTTATTTGTACAACCATCCACGCGATTACCCCAGAAATAAAGAGAGCATGTTTAGCTTGCTTAAAAAGAATGAATGAAGATACAAAAATAAAACACAACATCAACAACCAAGTTTCTTTTTATATATATAAGCATATGAATACATTCAAATCACAGCGCACAGGAGGACAAAAAGACTTGCAGACATCAAAGAACACCCGGCATCAAAATACTAATTGTTAAAAATTAAATTGGGGGTTTTGCTAAATTTTCAATTAAACAGGCATAATTTCCATAAATCACTCTCTTCCAGACACAAGAATTGCCAGCATTGGTCAAGTTGCATAAAATCATTCAATTTATGAACCGTAACCCTAAAAATTAATTTGGGGGTTTTCATAAATTTTCAATTAAACATTCATAATTAGGTTATAAATAATGGTAAAAACATTTTATAAACCTTATATTATTGAATTAATAGCCTAAAACCATTATTCAAAGTATCGGAAAAAAAAATTGTTACCTGTGTTCTTCAGTTACAGATGAGGGAGATGGATCAACACGAAAAAATAACACCTGAGATTAGAAAATTTAGGTTAGAACTGTTTAGTGTAACTTCAATTGCAACAAAAAAAATAAAAACCCTAAATTAGTTACCTGAGCTATTGAAGAAAAAAGTGCAAAACCTAACCCGTTTACAGAGAAGGGGTAAATCAGGATGTTCGAAACTGATGATGATGGGTCTGGTGCGATGTTACCATGGGTCTCTATTTTTCTTGGTTTATATAGAAATATTGAAACTGGTAAGATGAAGGAGAAGAAGATGAAGAAAACAAATTAGGGATGCTGAAGATGAATGCGAAAATGATGAACAGTTTGGGATAAAGGAAGATGAAATCGATGACGAGAAGGTGATTTTTCAACAGTTAGGGATTGATATTGTTATTCGGGATGAAGGATGCACTGGAAGAGTGAAAGTGATATAATTTTCAGCTGTAAATGATTTTGTTGATCTCCGTATTTCGGTGTGGGGGGAGAGAGCAAAAATAAACGGTTTAGATTTTATGCAATCAACGGTCTACATAATTTCAACTTTATATTAACATTTAAATTTTATTTTTTCAATTAGCAACGGAAAATCCGTTGCTAAATTCAATGTAAATTTTGCAACCGATTATTCGTTACTAAAATCCATTGCTAATATTAAAAAAATAATATATATATAATCCGTTGCAAATCTGTTACTGAATTTAGCAACGGAATTATCCGTTGCTAAATTCAGATGCTAATAGCCCCTGTTTTTTGTAGTGTCTCCCTATGGTTGGCAATGTTGGGCAAGCTGCGAACAAGAGATCGTCTTCAATTTCTCTCACCTGATCCTGTATGCTCTCTTTGTCAGAATGCTGTAGAATCTCATGCTCATCTCTTCTTCAACTGTGAATGGTCGTCTTCTCTTTGGGCCAAGGCAAGATTTTGGCTCAAGCTTCATAATAATATGTCTTCCTTAAACAGAGCCACTCGGGTCTTACACAACAACAAAAAAGGGTTGCAGCCGAGAATGAGAAGAGTATCTCTTGCTATCCTGGTGTATCTGATTTGGGAAGAAAGAAATAGGCGTATTTTTAACAACAGTATAAAATCTGTGGATGCCATCTTTAGGAAATTTCAGATTTTGTTCTACACTATTCTGTACTTCCATGAGAATAATCATCTAGCTTACAGTGTTGCAAGCTGAATGGAACCTCTACTCTTCGGTGAAAATTGGACGTGCATGGTTCTGCATGGCTTTCTTGTCCGTGTATTGAAGTGCCTTGGATTTTCGCTCTTCTGGCTGGTATACAATTAATTGTTTGTCGCTGTGTTAATGGTTGTTTCTCTTCCACTCTGCAAGGTTTGTCGGCTGATTGAGCTGATGGGAGGTTTTGGCTTATGCTGTTATTCTCTAATGTGGGCTGAACATGCACGGTTCCTTGGTGTGCTGTGAGGTGATCGTGCATGGTCCTGTAAGGAGGAGCAGCTGTACGTGTCCTTCTTGGCTGTCTCTAGGATGGTCCACCTCTATGCATAGTGGACAGTAGCCTTGTGTCGCCGCATGAATGGCTGGATTTCTCTCTGCATGGCTGAGCTGTGTCTGCATGGATGCTTTATTATTCATGGATGAGCTGTTGTCCCTCGACTTGTTTCTTTGTCTTGCTTGTAGAGCCGTTGGGTCTTGTGTTGGCTTCGTTAGCCGACTGATATTATTGACTTCGGCCTGTCTTCAATTGGCTGTTCTCCAGACTCCTGTATTTTGTTTGTTAATGCATTGAGTTCCTGGTTGAGTTGAGGCTGTGTACTCCCTCCGTTGTCTTCTGCTCTCGGCTTCTTTAGCTGGCTGATGCTGTTTTGAAGTTTGGGGAATGCTGCCTGGTGGATCTGCTTGGCTTGGCTAATTTCTGGCTATATGTTTGGGTCTCTTCATGGCTCATATGGGATCTTCGTCTCCCCTATCGGGATGCTGTCCTCCACTCTGGATTGAGCTCTATGGGTTTTTCCTTTCCCTATGTCACTTTTGTTTGCCTTGTGGCTTGTTTAATTATTTATTATCATATTTTCTCGGGAGCTTGTTCCCATTTGTATTTCGGTTTTGGGTATCTGTTACCTTTTTTTTTTCTCCCATTTGTATTTCGATTTTGGTTATCTGTTACCTTTTTTTTTTTCCTATTTATATTTTGTTATGCTGCATCTGTGGCATGGTTACTTTTGATCTCAATATATTCTTACATTTGATTAAAAAAAAATTATTATTATTATTACTACTACTACTAGTAGTAGTATTATTACTATTACTATTATTATTGTTGTTATATTGCTATTATTTGTAATTTATACAATTAACCTCTTTGTGGTTCGACCCTAGTTTTTTCGGGTTATTTATTACTTTGACACTCCTACACTTGGGAGAAGACATTAATCTTTTGATCATATCATATAACCAGAGGACACAAGCATTTTTGGTAAGCTGGTGTGCATCATGGTGGCGAGGATGTTAGTCGTGATACACGCCCCAGTGATTTGAGAATGGCTCCATTATCGTTGCTAACATCTCCTTCCATTATCATCATAGATTCATAGCTGTTTGAAGATAGTAAATGGTGGAAACGCCGCCGCCTGGGTTCTCTTGATTTGGCCATTGAAGTTCTCATAGTTTTGTAATCAGACCCCCGACAAAATTGTAATTGGATCCTTTAATTTTAACATCATTTCTGGTTTGGTCCA